TTGAATCTGAGATTGCAGTCTCTTTGGAAGCATTCGATTGTTTTCTTCCCATTACGCAGAATATCTTCGCGATCGAGCGTTATGAATTTTGCAGAATACAGATTTTGAAAATATATACACGGTGAGCAACGAAAGTATCCGAACGGCATGATGGAAAATAATTGATTATACAAAAATTGTATAATAAATTGCAATTTATTGAAACAAATTGTTTTTATACTATTATATACACATTTGCTAGATGTATGCAAAGTTAGAGAAAAGTTAAACCATAAGTAAACAAATTACATAACATTTTTCACGGATAGGTACATATAAGGCATACCAAAGTATTCGAACGCTGAATTATAAACATTATACATTGTAAACACAAGACTGTCGCAAGGTCTGTAAATGTAAATAAAAGTTCAGATGTATTTTCAACAGTATTTGAGAGCAAACGGAACCGAAAGTTAAACGTTAACCTGTAATTCAAAATAATATATTTACGATCCACGTAGTTCGAATGTAGAATATAGAAGCACGTAAAATATTCTATATTATAGCAACGTGACATAGAACCCTTTCTCTATAACGTGGAATTTTTCCCGCAATGTGAATTCAACTTTAATTTTTTCCAATATCCGAGAGAACCTTCTGTAACATACAATACTTTGTTCCGTTATTGTTTACATTCGACTCTTTATTTCAAATAAAGAACTGAAAAAGGAAAAAGTTAAATTTCAACTCATTGTCAGCAAAGAGTTTCTCCATGCACGTATTCGTCAGAAATTCGAAACAGAAGCACCACGTGGATCGGATTGGCTGGCTAGCGAAGGAATAGCTGAAGGTGCCTCGCCGGCGACCAGATGCTCTCGAGGAAGTTAAAGTCGCGGAGGTGAAATCGGGTGACCGGATTATTTGGCCGCGATCCGCTCCGATGCGTATTGCGGCTAACACGTGTAACTTTAGCGATCGAACGCGTTGAACGGCGTTAATGGAGCGGCGCCGATATTAAAATCGATAACAATTCCGGAGAACGATGGCCCGCCTGTCAGCGAAAGCCCGCCGCCAGTCAGTCGGACGCTAATATTTTGATGCCACCAATCAATTGTCCGTATTACGAGGCCGGCATTACAACGCGAATTCAATTTTCCAAGAATTAGTCTGCCGTTTCGCGCTTCTGCTTCGGCCCCGATCCGCTGCTGCGCGTTTCAAACGAGCGACGATGCACGTTTCATAGGAAAGCCCGAAATAAGGATTTCAGCGTTTTTCTGCTTGGAAATATGGTTTCCTGTTTAAGAAATGTGAACTACGTTCACTCGAACACTTTTGGATATACACGAGCCTCTTGTCAAGAAAATAATACTACGTCTGTGTGGTATATTTTTTTAATTTAACGCAAGCTCGCGAAAGTAATTTTTTTTTTTTTTTAATACTGTGCAAAATTTTATTACAACAGTCAATACAGTTTTAATCTATAATGTAATTTAACAATAAGCACACTAAATGTCGATATATTTAACTAGAATGTAAGTTATGTTATGATAAATTAAATTAGTTAAGTTGCCGATAGACTGGAAATGTTTATTAAATTCGAAGAAAACGACCTTACTTATGGGTATCCTTGATATTTGGATGTTAAACATAGATGATTCTTATCTGTTGAATTGCGTCAATGGTACATTTGAAATTGGACGTGGTTTTGGCCGTGGTTGGTAATCGATTCTAATTTGTAACATTTTCGAAAGTAAATCTATACTTCTCTGTGTATCTGTCGTCTAACTTCCGTCTATCTGTGCGTACTGTTTCTCTATCTATCGTCTTTTCCTGACTTTTCCGACGACGGGCCTGTTTTGATTGTCAAATTACCGCCAATCAGTTTGAAGTTACGGGTCCTGTTCGATTGCCTCGATCTAGGCGAATTCGTGTAACGTGTAATTTGAATGTTGTGTAACGATCCGACTGTCAACCGCTTTTGGAAACACTAAACAAAACAGGTCAGTCGACCATGTCTTGCTGATACGAAACTGTGAATCATGACACTGCCCTGCGATCTTTTTGGTTGCGATGTTTTTGGCTGCGATCTTTCTGGCTGCGATTTTTTTGGCTGCGGAAGGTAAATCGTTATCTTTATCATAAATTTACCAAATATTGTAGACTCTTCGCGCCGATAAGAAGTCTAACGTTTTCGATTTAGAAAATTCTGTGTCCTTTGATTATGCTATCTACCATTCATTGAAGCTGTCGAGGCTTCAACATTATTTATACGTGTTGTGCAAAGTAAAAGTGAAATGTGTGGTTGCGTTGCTAAAATTTAAAGTCGATCTGAAAACGAGTGGTGTGCAGTATTTTGTATTTAATGGAAAATCAGTATACAGTGCGAGTGATCATCTAAAGTATAATGAAAAGTCCAATTATGACTGTATTATCTCTACGAAATGTGCACATCTATATTTCCATCAGATATCTTTCTGTAAACATTTTTACGCTCCATAACATTTGTTTCAAATATCTATCCAATTGTAGTCTCTCGAAAGTTGCTCTAATTGTTTCGAACAATTGTACTTTCCTGACTATGTCTAATTTAACGTGCATTCAGATTGATTTGAATATTATATATATATACACATACGTATATTATACGTACAGGTAAAATATATATAAACGGACGTACAAAGTTTTCAGTGACAAACGTTCGAGCGTACGTAGTGATGGTTCTGTCGTAATGGTTTAATGGAGTAAAAAAAANAAAGAAAAAATTTCAACACGTCGCTAAAGACTTCGTAGTCGATGCGACTCTAAATACCCCATATTAAAAAAAAAAAAAAAAAAAAGAAAAATTTCGTTCGTTAACACAGCTACGTTGAGTCTCACTACGTTGAATCGCGATCGGCGATGTGTAGAGCAGCAACCTTTAGAAAGATACTTGCCAGTCGTAAAGTTTCGACGAAGTTTAGACGATCACGAGCAACAAGATGCGACGCACGCACACATACACAGAATGAGAGAGAAAGAGATGGAGAGAGAGAGAGAGAGCTGGCTCGCGCACTGACACGAGGGTGATCGATATCAGTGTAGCCGGTCGATTCGTGACCCTCGAAACACGCTGTTATCGCTGCTACAGTGCAACGGTCTTTCCTTTGTACAATCAACTCTTATATTCAATTAGAACTTTGCGTCTGATATGAGCACACACATATATCCGTCTACGCCGCAACATCTAACCACGAATTCATTCCCTCCGCGAGCATCGAGACGTTCCCTGCCTCCCGTAAAATCCTGCCTGTTTTCCCTCACCGGAATTGGTTTTTCACAGTTCGCTCGATCTCGACGTGGAAATTGTATAGATTAAATTCCCTTTTATTCTCTTTTCTTTTCACGTTTCTCGCGCCGAGTCTTTGGAAATAATTTGGACAATTTTGGAACAACGTAGCTATTTACGAATGATAAACGGAATGTGAACGTTCGTGAAGAAAGATCGCGAGGGATATCGAAAAATCACAGAGTCAGAGTTGTCGAGAGCGGAGCTCTGACAGCGGACATCGAGATTTTATTTCCCCGGCACGATTCGTACGATCGCGGCACTAACAGGTGTTTGACACGCGTGCAAAGGCATGCACGAGCTTATTAAACTTGATTTACGCCGTTTGCTTGGCCACGATAGCACGATCTCGGGTTGCGCTGTTGTTCCGAGCTTTTTCCCCTCGATGTTCACGGCACGATTAATCGATTGCGATTTGGCAACGTGCGCGCTGTTGTTCGAAAGTGTGCGGACTCTTTCATCGATTTAGCCTACTCTTTCATCGATTTAGCCTACTGATATTGGCGATCTTCTTCCGATATTCCGACAATCCAGATCGTCATTGTTTACAAGCTTGTCGAAGTTGAATACACGATAGATGAAAGATTGTCAGTAGCACGTTAAGGTCAAATAGTCTAGTAATTAATACTATTTTCCAATTTTTATTATTAGTTATTATTATTTTAGTATATATATTTTTATATATTTTCCAATTTTAGTTATGAATATTTACTCCGATAATTTAGAAAAATATTCTACACTGTCTGCATCATCTGTCGATACAGTTGGACCAATTCAAACGAGTTAGAAACAATAAAATTGTGCTCCTTGCAATAAAAGTAAACTCTATACTTAATTACTTGGAGTAGAACGATACTTCTCGCGCCACCTCGGACCTCGAAAGCGTGTTCGTCGATTAAATTCCGACCCAAGCGATGAAAATCATACTTCAATTAAATTACACTCGGCCAGTGTGAAAACACCGGTCAGCAATTTAACATGCAAACAAATTGCAAACATTTTCTCAGTTTTATGTACACTTAAATGTAACCTCGGTGAAACAAATGACAACTTTATCGCTTCCTAATAATTTCTCTCCAGTGATGTCGACGAGTTCGTAGTCGAAGAAAAAGAGAACGGCGAATTATTGTATACGGTTCGGTCACTCGTTATGGTCCGCGAACCAGTTGCCAGCGCCAAGGGGTTAGATTCCACGCTCAAAATTCAACATTCCGCGAACCTTCACCTTCGACGAAATGAAACGAAGCTGAGACACGCGTGTGTCCGCTGCAAATTTCAGTGAAACGAGCTAACTGTACCTATGCGTTGGCCGTAATTTCAATCAGATCGAGAACTCAGACCCGGTTGAACGCGAACGGACTTGGCCGGGACTATTGGAAATCAGTTTCGAGGGGGAATTCTTTTACTCGAGGGGATGTGAGGTCTCGCGATACGTTGTTTCCCTCGGTGAAAGTCGTAAGTTTCGTGGTGCCGCGCGGATCTGTGCCACGGCCCGACGTGTTTCGCCGCGCCGTGTTTCATTGGGCCGCTCCAGGCGGCTTACGAAAGTCCGACGATGCATGCTGAACTCTCTCTCTCTATCTCTCTCTCTCCTTCTCCCTTCCCCCTCGGTCTACATGCATGCGACACGCGACCCACACCAGAGAACACACTGTACACAGCACACCTAACATGACCGATCGATCTGATCTGACAGATCGTCTCCTGTCCGCAGGAGACATACTCCGTACTTTGGCCAGCCGGACTACAGGCTCTACGAGTTGAACAAGAGGTTACAGCAGCGTACAGAGGTAAGTCTGTTCACTCAATTTTTTTCTTTCTTTTTTACTCCATTTTTCTTTATAGCGTTAAATGTAAAGATACAGCGTCGCCTTTGGATTTTTATCGTTTGCTCGAACGAAACATACATACATGCATACGTCGTCTCGTACTTTTTACACGCTCCGATTCAAACGAGCGATAACGAATAGTAATTCGCTTTTTGCATATCGTTAGCATCAGAGAAAACGAATCACTTAGGGTTCTTGGCTTTTCATCGTGCAGAAGTCCTCTCCCCCCCCTTTTTTTTTCTTTTTTTATAGAATTAATTTATCGAATCGAGAGACATCGCGACGTTTCGAAAAAAATTTTTTTTCAGCATCGAGAAGATTATATTCTACGTGTGTATATAATTATTGAACGAATATAAAAATATATTGACTGCATGTAGAGTAAAGGAAACTAAAGACGATCGTTTTGGAGCAGTAGATGGAACATATTAATATTATAATATGTTAAGTAAATTCAGTTAAAAAAAAAAAAAAGAAGGACGAGATATACTTTTGGAGGATTATACGCGAAGATATAAAATTAGAAATAACGTGTCTCTTAAATCATTTCTATCGATTTTTCAAATCGTTCGAATAATTAATGCAAATAATTGTCCATGAAATCTGCATAAGCAATATTTATTCAAACGGTTTGTTCCGTTGCACGGTCGTTCAAACGAACAGTGGAAGGATTAAAGAGCAAAATGTGATTGGAGAAGGTTACGACGACTGAAGATCGAGGAGGAGTCTCTGTACAGTTGCCTTGCATATTTCGCGGAAACAAAGAGTTGGCGTAAAGGTTAGGGAAGGTTCATTAGCAGATAGGGTAGCCGATTAGACAGATGACTAGGTATTAACCGACGGGAAAACTATGCCGATGATTAATTGCTTTCCGTTTGTGCAACCTTGTTTCTGATCAGATTGAATTACGAACGAAGCGGATTGTACGCGATCTATCTCGAGCGTGCTTTCCTTTTAGAAGCTGACACAATGATAGATCTATCTTGTTCGATCGATCGTGTTTTTCTTTTCGCCGTGTTTTTCTTTTTCTTTTTCCTTTTTTTCTAATCGCGTACGCGGTACAAGAAGAAAGAGCAACAGCGTTTGTTGGAAAAGCGCGCTCGGTCGAGGTTTGATTTGTCAGACTGACGAGGTTAAGAGCGATTGTGATTTCAACCCTTCGGTTAGGAAGGTTCACCGTGACACGCCTCTTTTTCGAAAATAAAGATTTCTAATATAATGTAACGATCAACTCGAAATTGAACGTAAAAAGTTTTTAATGTATGTTTCCTCTAAATTCGTTTCGCTTCGAAGCAACCGTTTGAAATTATTAAAATTATCAGTGAACAATTCTCACATGAATTAAAATTACATGAACGAGCAGTTGTTACAATTAAGAATTTGAGGAATTTGCAACGATGAAAGTGCGATACAAAATTTTAACAATTATTATTTAACAATCGTTTTCCTCGTAGAAATCTAGTTTTATCTATTTAGAAAAAAAAAACGACTATTTGCATTAGTTATTATTATAAAATTCGCACGAGACGAGATGTCCACCCGTGAGACAACTTCTGAGGATCAAATCGATGGAATTGGCGGGAGAACGAAAGTCGTACGTGGAACATGCGCGACTTGATGTTCCATGCGTTATAAAATTTCCCGGCTTGTACATAGCGGTCCGATAAACTTATTCTCCTTTCAGAGATCCTCGATAATAGCGATAAGATATTGTACAATCCTCGTGAAGGGATTATCGTTGGCGCACGTGTCTCGTTGCTGAACTATCGAGTTTTCCGTCGATTTCAGACAAGCCGGATTAATAGACTCTTTGTGGGCAGATCGCTCGACTTCATGCGACTTTCGCGAGCAATCGCCGTGCCGGAATGTATCGAAGACGAATCGCGCTCCGCGATAGTCCGGACCGGAAAGGTCGATAATCGATTAAATCATTGGTTTATTGCGTCTTCGTCAATGAGAATTATTGACGACGTCTTATTACAGGCCAATCCATTATTGGAAATGTTTCGGGGAAAATTCTTTTCGGAGATTGCAGATGATCTGGATAGTGTTACAGTTCGTGTTACATTTTCTTTTTTTTTTTTTTTTTTTTTTTACAAAATTTTGTGTCGAAAAACAAGTATTAAATATCCTTTAGAAATTTGTCAGAGGGAATTATAAGCTGGAATATATATTATTGGAAATATTTAGAAATGAATTTCATTTGGCGATTGCGGATCTTGCAGCTTAGTTTCTGTAAAGATATTCTGCAATATCTCACGTTGGAAGAGCTTTTAATTTCTAGAACCTAGTGAGTTCTTTTTTGTGATTGCAGAAATGACATTTCAAAAAAAAAGTTAGTCTATTTATGTATCAAGAAAATTATTAATTTCAAATTAATAACGCTAATGTTGCTTTCTAGTACACTTATCGTTCTTTGCTATCACAGATGAACTTTCTGTTAAAAAAAAAAGAAAAAAAAAACGATAGCGGCCAACGAAATGAAACACGATATCATATCGCACGTGTCGTGTACGATTTTATTGAAGAATTTATTGTACAAAGAATGTAAATATATAAAGATAATGAAGACAAATATTAGAGTGTGTCAAAACGAGCCAAGGATTCGAACAATTCTTTGTTATATTACGAACTTCTTCATTCTTCGTGCAGGTTAATTTTTACACTGGCAAATCGCCATTTTTTTCGATAGTTGAGCTGCCAGAACCTATATATTTTCAATAATAGATGAAAATTTTATTAAACTACGAATATCCATCTGTCATCTGCAACGGGCAAAGGTATTCAAAGATACGCGAGATTTTTCCTAAAAGGTGGTATAAATCGAGGACAGTGACTCGGGAGAAGCATCGAAACCAGTTCGAATCGATTAACAACCCACGTCGAATCGATCGAGGCGCATTTGTCGCGCTAAGAGTCTCGCGCGAATGTTTCCCTGTTCCCCTCTTCTTCTTTTTTTTTTTTTTTTCTTTTCTTTGCGACGAATCACCGCGAGATCGGTTTTTCTTTCGACCAACAGTGATCAATGCGCCATTAGGGCAAAGTAGCGCGAGAGAAAAGAAAAAGGAAAAGAGCGAAGGGAAAGGTTAATGTGTCTTAACGAGCCCGCGATACTTGAGGCGCGCGTTCATTAATCTCGGAGGACCGAACGAACGCGCAACCGGTCTTCACTTTCGAGATCTCGGTATTATCGGCCCGTCATGCTGGTTTACGTTTGTCGCGTGTCGGCCATCATCGTAAAAAAACCACGCTGCAATTAACCCCTTCGGGATATCGAGCTGTCCACTCTTTTTTGCCACTTTGCAAAGCGTAAAAACGCGCCCGATTGATGCCCGATCCACGTTCGAAAGTATGTCGATAGAGACGAACTCTTTTCAATGTCTTCAGGCTATTTTTACTTTGGATTTATACTTGAAGGTCCTTCGTGAGTCGAACGGGTCTTTAAACTCTTTCTCGCTTTAAATTTTTCTCTTTTTTTTTTTTTTTGAAGATCGAGCATATTTAATGAACATTTACAAAATATCTGATCGCGTGGTTAAATTACGATTCGATCGAAGGTTTCGAGACATATATTTGCCATATTTGTTTGAAAACTAGGAGAATTGAAAAAAATATATTAGTTAATACATTAGTAATTTTGTTGTCTCTCAATTGTAAATACACGATGAACGTGCAGATGTGAATCAAGCCCTGTTAAGCAGTTCTAAAGCAGTAGATTCTCTTCCAATTTCCCCGGTGAAAATTTATATATTTTATATATTACATATCTATTTTACATTCTCTACAATTCCCTATCGATAGTGATCGGACTGCGGATTGTTTACACGAATTCCACGATTCAAAAAATTGAACTTGAACAAAAGTTTGTTTGGTTACACTCTATAAAAACTTTCGCAGAGCCTAAAAACAACAGTCTAATTACTTTATTAAATATATCTGTTCCTCCTCTGAACACTCTCGTCCCACAGTCCTTCTTTCGTTACCTGCTCAAATTCGAGCTGAATGCTTCGTTCGACCAGGGGATCGCAAATGACAGTCAATTTCGGCCAGAAGCGGGGCCAGAAGTTCGTTTCACTCCGGCTCACCTGTCTAATTCATGAGGGAACCTAATTTCTCCTCTTTCTCTCTCTCTCTCTGTATGCGCGACCTTGACCAGCCAACATTGAATAAAATATCATCGTGGCTCGCGACGAAGAGCGTCAGTGGACGATGATCGAGTCGAGGAGAGTCATCAGTCACTCGAAAAGCTCGATCGTTATTCAACAGCCAAGGCTAGCCGAATGTTTGTCTATCATTTGTTAAGAGGGCCCGAGGGTAATTTCACTCGACTCTGGCCCACATACGACTTTTTTTTCTCCTCCTCCTATGACTCTCGTTTCTTTTTCTTTCTTTTCTCCATTCGTTTCTTATCCAAGCAGTTCTTTTTCGGGGTCTCGCTCGGTTCTCCTTCCTTCGGCCGGGTTGTTCACTCTCGGTCACTCATTCGCGAACTCGAGCAAACGACGTGGCGTGTCCCTGGCTCATAAATCATCTTTTCTCACGTTATCGTCAGATCTCGTGCGTTGTCAGCGTGCACGCGTGCACGGTTCACCGTTGTGTGTTTCTTTGCCTACTTCCGTCAGGCCTGTGCGAACTCTCGACCGGCGCCCCACCGATTATCCTCGAGAAGCGTAGCTTCTCCGCGAATTGTTCGCACATTTGTCATTCACGGACGCGTCATCCTCGGGATTCAATCTAATGATCTGTTAACTCGATAGTAGACGATCCTTCGCGAGACCTTACTTGGTCCTTATTCTCCGTGATTTCTCTTTAACTCATTAATTGGAGTTCATTAATCGAAGGGATTTGAGATTTGTCATTTCCGCTTTATGATTATAATTTTCGTTCGCAGTGGAAGCGAATAATTTTCTCGCAATTTCTAAATTTCTTTCTTTTTTCTTAATCGCCGATTTAGGATACCC